ATCTGTGCCCAGCAAACCCTTGAGTGTATAAAGAGAGTGAGTCGTAAATGGCATGAAAGTAATCCCTGCAGCATGGCGTCTCCATTTCTAGGGCTTTAAGGAGGTCATTGGCCACATTAGACAAGGCTGTGGTCTGTCCATTTTTATTGTGGACACGACATTGACAATCTTTCCAACTCCCATCTGGGACAGGGGACCTCCATTGTCTTCTAACTCCCTGTCCCACCCCAGTGCAGGATTCTGGGCGGGGTCCGTCAGGGACAACACAAAAGAAATGTCACCACTCCTGGAATGAAATGCCTGCCGACGAGGGTCTCTCTCCTCCTTTTTCTCTGTCTCTATGCGTCTCCACAGGGGAGCAACTGGTAGCTGACATCACTGGTAGGGTCATCCCCGGCTGGGCACAGCTTCAACGTCAGGTCTCTGGCCCCTGCTGGCCCCCGGTGACCCTTGGTTTTGATGACAGACCGGGCCTTTTGTGAAGCATCGCCCTGTCCAGGTGAGGACAAGAGAGGATGACAATGGCAGGAAACATAAAGCCGATGAAGGCTGTGAGATGGCCCTACAGGTCATGGGTCAAGCTGGACAGCTGAGTGATGAGTGCAGCTGTGGACACGTGGACCTCCTTCTCTGTCCTTTAGCTCTGCCTGCCATGTCAGCTGATGTTGCCTTTGTCGTGGGATAAAGACCTCACTAACTCTCAACAAGTTGGAGAAAAGTAATAAACACAGGCGACAGATGTACTACCCCACAGATTCAGAATGTACAGCTATTATAGTGACAGCCTAACCTGTGTGGTGTGGGTCAACTCCTTGCCTTCTCAAAGGGAGACAGAAATTGAATTAGATAATAGAAAGATATTTGCCTATGATTAAAAAAAATGTAATGCTTGTCAATTGAATTACAGTTCTTAAAATAATCCAAAATAACCAAAATTTAAAACTACATGGAAATAAATTGAACTAGATGCTCTCTCGTGGATACATACCTTTCACTGTAGTTAACATTTGCATTATTAAAAGAAACAAAAAAAAAAAAACTTGCAAAGCGAGAGGAAAAAGCCTTTACATAAGTTTATCTGTGCAGTCCAAAATCACAGACAATGTCTCGATGGGACAGATGAATATGATGTTCTGTCATCCCGGGCTGCCACTGCTGCAGAATGTGCTGCCTCTTTCTTGTCACTTGGTATAAACATCAAAATGTAGAAACAAAGTAAATGGACTATTTTAAACCATTGAATTGTATTGCCACCAAAGCCTAATAAACAAAGAAGGTCTAAATGTCTCCAAACATCAGCGACTCACTCATCCTGAGCGGTCCAACTGTTTCCGATGCCAAAGGTCAATGGCTGCCTACTCCCCTCCCGGCCCACACTGAGAGATGGGAGGACAGGGTTTGCCAAGTCATGCACAAACCCTGCTCTGGGTCATAAACACCTCCGCCTGTCTCCCCTCTTCTTTTCTCCTCCACAGAGGTGAGTTGGGTTTGCACTCTGTTAATGTTTCACTACAGGCCTGCTTGCTTTTACACTGGCCCGCTGCAGAATAGAGGAGGGGAATGAAAGAGGGGTAGTAAAGGATGAGAGTGGATAAAAGAGCAGGAAGAAAAAGCCATAGAGAGGGCCAGATGGGCACCTTCACAGTCCATTTATCAAACCCAATGTGGCCCTCCCCTCCCCTCCCCGCTGCTCTCATGTCCTAAACCCCCATGTAATTCTGTAATGATTTTCATTATCATATAATGACCTTACAAAGCCTACAGCAGTTTGCATGGTCAGTACAAAACTCGCAGCTGTTCCCTTCAGTGTTTGCTCGCCGGCTGTGACAAACCTCTTTTGTGTTTTTTCTGTTGGTCAGAGCGTTGACCTCAAGGCACTGGAAGGTTAGCATGAGGTCACCTCATCCAAGAGGTTCAAAGGTAGACATACTGTAATCAGACAGCTTCAAGATACCATCGAATATCTACTGGAAGTAGATATTCGAAATGTAGCACACAAAAGACAAAATACTGTTGGATTTCATGTGTACGTACTTCCAGTGTGTCAGAGTATTCTTCTCGACCAGTATTTGCGTAGATGTTAAACAAAGACCCAATAACTCCCGCATTAAGTGTTTTTAATCTCTATACTTCTGGTGCCATTGAGATGTGCCATTTTCTATCCTAATATGTTCCCGGGAGGTTGTGCCTTGCTCGTCAATCTGCACTTCCTGTGTGGCATACTCAACTGCTCTCCTACAGTACAGTCACCCACCCACATAATAATCCATCTATTTCTAGGGCACTCACGGGGCATTTACCAAAGGGACACGGAGGGCAGCATCTATCAAAGAATTCACCATGTGCATCGGGAAAACCCAGTTACCGGAAAAGCTCATAAGAATAAAAAAGCTCTCATAACTTCATTGGCTCAGAGTGAATGAATGGACTGCTTCTGCTAGCGGGGCAAGCTGAGGCATCACTCACTCTGAGTGCCTATAAGTCACTCATGAAGAACTACTGGTCACCAGGTCCAATTTCTCTTTCTTTGCTTCCCGGTAGTGCTAAAAATGCCCCGGAGGCAGAAAACGGCAGCGAGCAGGCCCGCGTTGCAGCGAGCACTGCTTTAACTGGTGTTTAAGAAACAAAAGTCAGCGAGAAACTTAATCAATCAGCGGTGGTTGTTTATGTTTATGTGCCTCTAGCAAGAGTCATCAATCATCCGTTGTTGTGGTTTTTTTAGTTTTTTTTCTCCATCCTTTTGGAAGTATTATGACTATGGAAACATAAGGCAGTATTATAATAAAAGCCTGCCTGTTGCATATTGTGTGAAAACCTAATTTGGACTCCCAATATAAAGAAAGCCAGCAAAGAGAATCAGCTAATTAATTTCAAAAGTCCTCTTGTGGAGAGTGCTTTTATGAAAACAAATGAAGATTTAAAAACATCTGACTGAAGTGGACTAATTCCCTCGCTGTGTGTCTGATTCTGTAATATACTGTATCTGTAATTCAACACAAAGACTTTTCTTCTAAGTAGTATGCATAAAGAAATACAAACTTTTTCTTGTTTTAGCATCTCGAATCTCTAATCAGTACCAGTACGTCCCACTTAACATTGCACATAGCCATGTGTTTAGTTTTGCGTAAATGAGATCTGTTGACAGCCACTTGACAGGATGGCCCCTGGCTTTTTTTATAAGTGGGGGCAATGGGGGTTAGGGATAGACATTTAATGTGTGTAAAGGGGAGAGGAGGTATCAGGAGCAGCTGGAGTTCAAACATATTGTGTGGGACGCTTGCCCTCCTCCAAAACTAATCTAATCAGTCTTTCACTGCTGATAGAGTAAACGTCTGTCTGCCCCGCCGACAAGGACGGAGCATTTCCTGTCCTGGTCTGTGATACTGGTTGTCAGGATCTTAAGGTGGGCTGAGCTAAGTCTAGGGTTCAGACATGGTTAAGAGGTGGTAACATTGCATTGTGGGTGGTGGGGGAACCCGGGATGGCGGGGGACAGCGCTGATGTTATGTGGGGGTGGGTGTGGCGACATGGTTTCTAGCTTTCAGCACCTGCAGCTGGAATGCACTATCAGAGCTGGCCCTACATCAGAGATGTGAGGCCGTGGGCGTCGACACAGCAAAGCAAGGTGTGTGGAAACAGCCTGTTTACAAGGCTCATCTGGATGGGGCAGAGCTAAAGGGTCAACTAAGGGGGACAACTCAAAACAGAGGGGCGCCATGAGGGCAGCAACACTGCAGGAAGCTGACATACATCTTTCAAAAGAAAAGATGTTGCTTTCAGGAATTTCTAGTCTGTGGATACTGCCCCTGGCACTTTTGCTTTCTTTAGGCTCTGGATCATGTCTGGTCCAAAGTGTGTGTGTATATGTGTGTGTGTGTGTATATGTGTGTGTGTGTGTGTGAGACACTGAGGTCAAAACCATTGATAGAGACAATAAGCAGTGAAACATATGTGGATGCAGATCTAGTATATACATGCATGCCAGTGTTTGTGTGTGTCCTTGCTCGTGCTGAGGGGGGGGGGAGTGACTGAGAGAATGAACAGCTAAAATAACACTGTGTTGTGTGCGTGTGTGTGTGTGTGTGTGTGTGTGTGTGAGAGAGGCCCTGCTTTATCAGAATGAATGGCCAGTGTTCTAATCCTTGAGCTCTCTGCCCTTATCTGGGAGGAAGGAAGTGACTGGGCTTATCCAAGACACACGTGTCGTTGTGATAGCTGTTAAAGCTGCCAGACCCAAGCCCCACAAACAAACACCAACTACACCAACTGCATGTCTGTGGAGCTCACATCGCCTCTGAATGAAAGTAGGACCAAGGTGTTGATTCATGATTGTTTTGCTTGACGATGTGATCACAGTTGTTAACCCTGCTAAGTCCTTATTGCGAGGCTTGCACTTGCTATCATGTTAATAGCTCTGGTTGTGACCTCTACTTGTGCGTTGTTGTGTGCCTCAAAGTTCTTCTCAAAGTGTTTTGGGATGCACAAAATATTTGCCTCTGTTGCTTATTGGTAATGGTACCCATGTGTATTCACATCCTGGCTGTTGACCCTTGACTCAAATGTTTCACAGGTGCTATTTATTGTTTGTGAGCCTGTTGTAGGCCCATAGTTTCAGTTGGTTTCATTAACTGAGTGAGTTGTAATGGTTTCAGGAACAACATGCTCTTGCTGCAGTGTCGGACTATCTAATTGCAATTACAATTTTTGCAATTTCCGGCACGCAACATTTACCTTGTTTTGGGGATGTCAAGACTCCTAAAGTAGAAACATACAATTTTCTCAGCAGCCCGCTGCAAAATATATGAATTCAATATAAAGTTTTAAATATTAAGCAGAATAGCTCATTTGCAAAATGAGTTTGGAGTAGTTTTCTTTTTTGTGTGTGATGGTGTTCCCATTATGAATATGAGAGAGTGTCCTACTTTACCTGTCTCACACATCAGATGTATTTTTCGAGGACCTTTCGAGGAAAGAACAAAGTTGGGTGTACATTGTGTTACCTGTCTCTCCATGTCTGTCTTTGCTGCTGTCGGTCTGTCAAGGCAGACAGCAGGGTTTCTGCCATCTCCCTCCTTCCCTCTCCTTCCTGACCCTCCTCCTCCTCCTCCACTGTATCCAGGAAGAGCATAGTCTGAAAAAGAAACGTAGAAAACAACTGCATCAAGTAGACCTAAAAGAGGATATGAGCAAACAAAAGTATGTCCTTGAACATCAGGAGAAAGAAACACCATTCAAAAAAAAGCTCAACTCCGTCATTTATTGTAATTTCCATTTTCCATACAGAAAGTTGTCTCCTTAAAAGGGAAACTACGATGACATTGGTAGGTTTACAAACCACAACTATTTGGTTCTATTTAAATTGCCCTGAATATTAAACTCCATGAAATAGAGTTGAAAGACTACCTGAAGCAATTCCCTCCATCATTGAGCTTCCTCAGATTAGAAATTACGCAGCTCTGAGCCAAAACTCCATTATAACGTCCCTGGGACGGCGACATGCAGTAAGTCTAGTATAAAGTCAGTTTCACATCAGAGGATGGGCAAATTACACCCAATATTAGAGTGTGAGTCAATTAATCACGTCCTGCACAGCACAGTGTAATGTGTGAGTATCCCCCTGTTGAACATGAATTACAGGCCGGCTTAAAGTGTGACGTGGCACATCATTGCTAATCTGAGACATCCTGGCAAACCTTCGCCTCCAAGTCCTCCGCAGCCTCTAAGCTGGTTGAGAGGGAGTCAAATGAAAAAGGATCTGGCAGCCCAAATTAAATGCAGTGCTGTCAGCCGCACTCAAATCCCTCTTTCTCCCTCTTCTTTTCTACCCTTCACAGACTCTCTCCCTCTCTGAATATCCTTAAATGTCTCCCCCTCCTCCTGCTCCCAGCCTCTGAGAAGTGATGGATCTGTAACTCTGACTGACTCTGACGCCTTGTTAAGAACAGTCTCTTCCTGTCACATCCACCAGTAAAGCACGTTCATTTCTTCCCATTAACAGTCACTCGCTTCCCCAGTCATCCAGCCCTCTTTTCAAAAGAAAACCACAATGTAAGGGAACCTTCATTTCTTCTCCTTTCCCTCTTTTTTTAATCCATTTCTGACAATCTACCTGTCTGTCTTAATTCATGTGAAGATAGGTTTGATTGTCTGTGTGTGTGTGTTTTCAAGGGAAAGAAGTCTGATTTGCAGCAGAGTAATATGCTTACTTCCTCCACACCACACAGGACAGGTGTCAAAACATGTGGCGGTGTGTGACTGATTACACCTGACTCGAAGGAGACACCAAAGATTACAGTGACCAGGAGGAAGCGGGGCCGGCTGTACTCCCTGAGGAAATTGTACTTTTCAGTTTGGATCAAACCCCGTCTTCCTGGGATGAGTGTCAGGGCAAGAAAGTGCCAGAAAGTGCATTCAGACTGTATCACCATCTCAGCTAGTAGACATCACATTTCCAAGCTAGCTGTTTAGCACAGTTCCAGTGTCTCTGAAACCTGCTCTGACGTACTTCTGAACTTGCTACGGCTCTTCCCAAAGCTGGCCTGGGAACAGAAAGAGTAGCAGGAAACGAGAGAGACAGCGCGGTCAAATGAGCTTATTCTAACTGTGCTAAAAGAAAATGAAATACAGCCAATAAAAGCCACATAATTCACAAAGATTCAGAGAATTAATACAGCAGCAAACATCTATATGCAATGTAAAGATAAAGTGGAGTAATGGCTACCTGAGCAGAGGATATAGTCGCTCTCCCTCTCTCTGTGTATTGTAATCAGAGATTCTCTGTGCTTTGTTTACATCGTTGGGCCGGCCGCGCGTGCATTTTAGTGCACGTGAGTCTCTCTGTTGTCCCCCATTGGCCATCTAATGGACGCCGCTCTGCACTGCACTCATATGGCGGTTAACGTTGATAAAGGCGTGTCAACCCACGCCCCGACGGTTCCCCCCTCAGGCTAAGGTTAGCTCTGTCATCACTTTTGCCATTGTTTGAACTTTTTGTGCCGTTAGCACTGTTAGCTGCTAGCAGCCGGCTCATCAGTGTCCATGTTAAGTGCTGTGTGGAGGCAACAGATATGCTCTGAAATACGTATTGAGCACATTTAAACTGAGTCCACCATTTGTACATCATCACAGCCTATACATTGATGGCCAAAAGCTTTCTGTCCCAACTGACAGTCAGAAGTCTCAAAAATAAACCCCAACGCCGGCCACCTCTTCCATTAAACACGTTAAACACTTTAAACACACTGGTGATAACTTCTGCTTCGGGAGAGTGTGCGTACATTTGTGGGAGTGTACGTTAAAACCTCTCGTTATGTTTGTTCTCAGCTAGCTTTTGTGAGTATAGGTGTGCCTATGATAATGTGAATGTGTGTTACCAAGCCTCTTACCAATGAAATTTGTGCACGTGTGTTTGCGTGCCAGAGTGTGTGTGTGCCTGTGGTCTTGTGTTTAGAAGACCCAGTGCTGAGAGAGGCCATCAGGTTTAGCCACAGGCTGATCCTGAGGCCATTTAGACACCCCACTGGTTGTTTACTGGTCAAGCCCTGCCTCATAGTCAGCCACGGCAAGACCACAGCCCTTTATCTCCGGGCCTGTGTTAGCACTAGTCATCCCCCTCTTTCCTTCTATTTATCCCATGATGACAGTAGCTATCCTCAGCCTCCACCTCCCTCAGCCTGATGCTGACCACAGATGTCCCCCTGACCCAGGCCACATCCCGAGGTGAACAAGAGGACAAGGAGGATCTGGGTACCTCCATCCCCTGGTCCCCAGATCCTAAACAACCCCTGTCTATTGCCCAACAGATAAGCATAAACATTTCCGGCCCGGTGCAGAAGCAGGGTAGGTAAACAAACGTGCAGGCAGGCTGAGGTGGTATTGTGGTTGAAGGGGAGCCGGAGTGATGATAGGGTTCCAAGCGAAGGCTGGCTGGAGGGCAGCCCGGGGCGGCTCACTAACACCTCGAGCCAGGACTGTATCTTAACACCAACAAGCATCTGTCTATTCCATCACATAACAACACGTCACTCATTCTACACAGAATAACAGAAGGGGAAGATTGTTTGTTGCTACACATGTGTAATATGGTGTGCATCCCTTCAAACTTCTCAGAATTGTAAGTCACGTAATAGCTCAAAGGTAGGAGTGTTAAAAAAAGATGCATGCAGAACTGAGGGTTTATACTGCATAAGACAGAGCTGCTAGCTAGAGGAACCGTTAACACTGTATTAGCTGACTTTAGACCAGGACTTTCAGGGGACCCAGAGCACTCTTAAACTCACTGGCACTCTCTTATATCGGAAACTTTTTATATCGGCAGGCCATAAACGCTTCAAAATCTTCAAATTGACCTCCCCTTTTAACTAGTTTAACAGACATGGGTGATTTAAAGACCATCCAAATGATGGGTGGTTACCTAAAAAAAGTAGGTGCTAAACGAAATCACCAGTACATTCCCTCTATATTCCCCAGATTTTGGCTGGTGGCTGGTGTTAATTAGCCGCCATGGTGCCACCCCCCTCCTAAGTGCACTGGAGTCTGTTAGACTGGCAACCTCGGCGCCTGTCTCCCTGCCTGTCTCTCAGTGTGCCAACAATCATGCCTGAGATCTTCGGGACATATATATTAGTAATGCGTTGTGTTCACACTGTGTAGTGTGTTGAGAAAGGGACCTGTATTAACTCTTTACACAGCCGAACGCCATGTTGGGTACAGCTCGCTCTCCGTCGCTCGCTACAGGACATTCAAGAACAGACAAAGAAAGAGAGAGATGCCGCAGAGCTATGGGACATATTTATTGGTCATTTTCTCGACAGACTTTGCAGGTTTATTGCTCAGGACCCAAGGAGGCGAAGTGTCGAGTGTGAAGTTGTTTGGGTGAGCAGCAATACCGGAGGCCAAACAATCAGCCCATTCCAAACGGGCATGTTTGGAATGGGCACTGCACTAGTGATGGTGCTTGCAAGAAAGTGGGCTAACTCTTCAGTAGGGCGTCGGCCTGGTCACCAGGACGAGGACTCAGAGCGCTGCTTGTTTTGATTTTAGACAGACTAACACCTGTGATTTTGGGGCCACACATCCAAGACGGAAAACCTGATTTTCAGACCCGAGCATAACACGAGGTTTGTGAAATGAAATTACCTTTTCTGATACCTCTGTTACCACATCTGCCTTTTATTGTAATTCCTCCTTCACTTGACTTCCTCTTGCTCACCAAAATGGCTCAGAAAATCAACAAGGTATATCGAGCTTTAACCCTTTTTCTCCAGATCGTCAGACACTCCACTGACTTCTGCCACAGTCTAAGCTCAGCTGCTCTGACATCTGATGTCATAGGCCTTAGGAGTGGGAGTTTGGCAGACTCCATTTCCCTCTCCCCTCTAATACATGAAACCAATATCACTTTGACCGCTGGTGGAAAAAGGCATCAGGCACCTTGCTCGGGGTAATGGATAGCTTCTGCTCACTGATATAAACAACTTGGGAGCTGTGATCCTGCCAAGTCCAGTTCTAGTCTGGACAAGGGATCTGTGTGTGTTTGCTGCATGCCACTGTCGAGTTACTTTGCTCTTGGGGGGGACTCTCCACCGGTGGAAATATTATATTAGCCCAGGAAGATATAATCCCAGACCACATTGACTTTTCTGTGACATCACACTTGAAGTCATAAAAAGTGTGTGTGTGTGTGTGTGAATATTTTCCTGCCGTCTGCCTGCTGTCACATGATTACAGATGGTTCAAAATTGAGGCATATCTGAAATTAAATTTGTTCAGTTTCCATTACGTAAGATTGGTTGATAAACACACAGGTGTGTGTGTGTGTGTGTGTGTGTCTGTGTAGGGGCCGAGTGAAGGGTGTGAACATTGCTGGTCAGGGTTGTCTTCCAGACTTTGAAGCCTCACAACCTTTCATTTTATCAAAGAGTAAAGAAAATGAGGCAAGCCAGCTCTATGAAAATATTCTCTCAAAGATGATTCTAGTCTTTTCTTTGTATGTGCGTGTGTTTGTCTTTTGATTTATGTGTGCAGATTTGAGCAGTGCTCACGACCGAAACTTGCAGAACACTGACTTTCAAAAAGGTTTGTTGCACTAGCAACTTTGCAGATACTCCAAATAGATAATTATAATATTCA